AAACAGCGAAACATTTTGAACTATCAATACAACAAATATTAAGATATTAGGCACTGTGTTTCAGGTTTTCTTTAATCCATTTCAGTGGGGATGTGTGCGTAGTGTAGTGGTTCTCGATTTGGAAGGCGAGATTAATGTGCCGAGTTCAAATATTGTTGAGAAGCTATGAATCCATTCCTTTCCTATGAAGAGGCTTACAGCAGGGTTGACTGCGATTTCTAAACTTGGCTGAAAGCCATTCAAAAGAAGGTGAACTCTGAATTCAAACCTGCCTGCTACAATGGCAACGCCCTAATGGGCTGAGGCTGAAAACTTATAATTCACTGGAGAAACTACATGAAGTAACACACACACACACACACACACACACACACACACACATATATATATATATATATATATATATATATATATAATAAAATAAAATTTTTTTAATTATTTAAGATATTTTTATATGTTCATACGTTCTTTTTTATAGATATATCTATATAGTATCTATAAAAAGAATGAATAAACATAAAAATGTCTTAAAATAATTGTCGGACTTTGTCCATTTCATAATGTATGACATCATTTGTTTACATTTGGATACGCATTGAGCAGATATGAATGAATAAGAGAAAATCACAGAGAATTGTGTTTAAAAACAGTAAAATCGACCATGCTAACCGAACGTTCCCCTGTGCCCGTGGGCTATATATGACAGTTCTGTATAGGATACAGGTTCGATTCCTGTCCCAGGAAGAATATTTTCTATGAAAAATTTCTCGGACATTCAGGCCGGTAAATGTCGTTAATACTGTTTATTATAAACAGAGCATTTACTTAAATATTTGTATCTATAAAAAGAACGTATATATATATATATATATATATACATACACACACACACACACACACACACACACATATATATATATATATATATATATATATATATATATATATATTAAAATATATCAAACACTTAAAAATCCTTAAAAATGAAATCTTTAAAAATGGCTTTCAAACCTTTCAAATATAAACGGAAAAAATTACTCGAGGTAAAATTCAAGAAATACTGCTATCTTATTGAGGAAGTGGGAAAACGAAAGATGCAAATTTATGATCATGTAAGGTGGGGAAATAATGTTAAGAAACTTGGATTTTTCATCAGCAGACGTTAACATTTGTGATGACCTAATTTAAATTATTTTAGGTTTAACTTGCCACATTAATATGGCATTTAAGGAAGAGGGTGAGTGAAAGTATTGTTGAGTCAATGGGAATTTAAAAAAACAAAACAAAAAAACACTGTCAGGCTCTTGCACCGACCAAAATTCTGATTCAGATATATTCATTTTAACAAACCATATATAATTTATATTAAAGATAGTGTTTGGTTAAGGCTATTTTAAATAATATTCAGAATTTAGCGAAAGATTTAAAATTTGACGTATATTAGTATAAGTTCTTAATATAATTACGCAAGAAATTTAAATTAAATTAGCCAAGAGATTTGAATTAATAATTATTAATTATTTAGATATTCAGAGAAACTTACTACATCTTATTTATAAAGTATACTAAGCAATAGTCCTAAAATTCCATAACCAGGTTGTATTTATTGAAGGTTAACAAGATACGAAGGCAATGGCTAAAAAAAAAAAAAAAAATGGTGCGGCTCAGGGATCCAGATGAGGTAGACGTCCGTTGAGCTAAAAGCTTCCTACGTACATTACGATAAAAAATTACTACGTTACACAAAAATCGAAAACCAAATAGAGTAAATAAAAATATAAAAAAATAAGTAAATAAATAAAAAAAAACAAATAAAAATTAATCCAAATAAATAAATTAACAAATTAACAAATCGCCCCCGCTAAAATAACAGTTAGAACTAATAAAAATAAGCATAAATAAACAAGTAAAAATAATCAATCCAAATAAATAAATAAATTAATTAAAATCTATTTCTGTTAATATTTTTTTTCAAAATATGTATAGCTGGTAATATTATTTTCAAAAACGTATAGCTGATAATATTATTTTTTCAAAAACGTATAGCTAGTAACATTATTTTTCCATTCGGGGTTAACTATTTTCCCATAGATAAGACCCTAACAGGTACTACCACCCCGTGTCAAGATGAACCTGGGAACACCAGCAATTAAGAGGTGGTTCCACGCTCCTCGAAACCTTCTGATCAGAGGCCTTGCTGTTGGACGTAGTTTATCGTCTTACCCAGGACGCGGATGTAGTTTATCGTTATGCCCAGGAAGCGGGTGTAGTCTCAGTTTCAGAGTTAACTATTGGCCCATAGTTGGAAACCTAACAGGTGCTACCAACCCGGGTCAGAGTGGACCTGGGAACACCAGGAATTCAGAGGTGGTTCCACGCTTCTAAATAACCTCCTGATCAGAGGCCTTGCTGTTAGATGCAGTTTATTGTCTTACCTAGGACGCAGATGCAGTTTATTTTCATAACCAGGACGGAGTTCTAGGGGGAAAATCATGTCTTTGTTCCCTGGATTAGTTGTGTGTTGAGTTGATGGAGAGTTTCCGAGGAAACCATTCAGCCTTAACAGTTGAGGATGTTAGAACTTCGAAGTGATTGAACAGAGTAGCGATTGAGGCCTTCCTGTAGTTCAGTACACTCTTGCAGTACTGCCACTAATCTTTAGAACCAAACTTGCGATATGCAATACGCTGTTCCATCCCATCAGCAAACAGTAACTTTGCTTCATCGAGGACACGCTTGCATTCATCAGTCATATTGTCCGGTTACAGACGGAAAAAGTTATTCCTATAGTAGCAGAACAAGCACCGGAGAACCAAGGCGAGGTGCCCGATAGAACTTTGTATTTTCTTGCAGGGATGAAAGCCTAGATGCCAGCTTTTACCCAGGTAGTGACAACAGATGCACATTTTTCAACCGGATGATTAAAAAAAATATTCCAAGGGATGTCGCGAAGGAAATCACGAAACGAACCCCAGTCTGCGCGTTGATAACAGAAAGATATTCTGTTAGTAGGACGGTCATGGCTGGAGGCGGAGTGGAAGGAGATGTTAACAGACAAAACCGCGTGATCAGAGTAGCCAAGAAAGCAGCGCTGCGTATCGCGACAAGAATCACGGATGGTAGTAAAACAGAGATCGAGAGGGGAAGCATTACCATCGGGGTTCCCGGGGAAACGCGTAGGAAAGTCAGTCACTTACGTGAGGGATTGAGTGATCGAACATTTAATGGTTAGGATGAAAGCGAGGTCAATCACGGACAGTTTAAGCCACATGGTATGTTGGCGTTAAATTCATCGAACACGAAAATGTTTATAAACGGATGTAGAGCGAAAGGAGGACGTTAGGAAAGAAAAGATAGCTGACTGAATTGAGGAGGGAGAGAAGTAGACGCGTATATGAATGGTCTAGAGATACGAAAGTGAGTTCTCCAGCCAGGGGGAGATGATCGCGAACATAAACTTCCAGGCTATGCATCTGGATTTTAGAGTCCTTTCTAGGGAGAGGAAGCTGGCTAAAAATCGAGAAATCAGAGGAGGGGATTGCCGAGTTAAGGTTAGTCTCGCACAGATCTAGTATATCAGGAGACTTATGAAAGAGGAACAAATCAACATATATATATATATATATATATATATATATATATATATATATATGATATATTCATAAATGATAATTATACAATATATGTATATATATGATATACATCAGTTATATGCATATATATATATATATATATATAATCTGTTATATATATATATATATATATATATATGTTATATATATAATCTGATATATATGTATAAATATAATATCTATCTATTGAATTATATATATTTATATAATATATATATATGTATATAAGTAATCATATATATATATATTCTGATACATATGCATATATATATATAATCATATCTACCTATATATATATAATCTGATATATATATATATATATATATAATCTGATATATATGTTTATACGAATATAAATTCATATATATATATGATTAAATATATATATAATTATATATATATTTAATCATATATATATATTTATATCATCATTTAAATATATATATGTATATAAGTAAGCGTATGTATAGTCTGATATATATGTATATAAAATATGTATCATATATATATGATACATATATATATATAATCATATATGTATAATCTGATATATATGTATATATAATAGGATATTTATAAATAACATATATGTAGTTTTATTTATATATGTATATATGCATATATAATCATATATATGTAAAATGTTATATATGCATGTAATATATATATGAACATATATATATATACATATATATATCTGATAATCATATTTAATATTATATATATATATATATATACATATATGTATAATCATATATGTCATAAATATAATCTGGTAACTATGTGTATATAATCATATATATAGATATAATCTGATATATATGTATATATAAATATATAACCGCATACATATAGATATCTAATATATATGTTTGTATATATATGTATAAAATCATGTATATAATCTGTTAGATATGTCTGTGTATGTATAATTGTATACTCTTGCCAGGTCAGGACTCAGTACATTACAGACTCTTCTTTTAAAATTTCAAGATCCTGAAGATAAATATTAGGAACACCTAACCATATATGGCAGCATTATTCTGTTAACGAATGAATTGTAGATTTATAAATGTGCAGAATGGATTTTGATGCCAAAAAAATTCTTCCACCGCAAAGTAAATCAACTTTCTTAACAGTAGGCATAACAATTGATTCAATCACCCTACTTCATGTCAGTCGAAAACGTGGGTCAGGAAGTTGTAGAATGTTGCTTTTCTGAATTTTAGCATAAGCCATACCGGTGGCAGGGAGACCATTTCTCTGTAGTCATTAAATGAAAGCCGATTTGCTTTGGTGACATTAACGTTTACAAGCCATTCCTTGCTCCAGTTAACCACTGATTGGAGGTTCTTTTCCCGAACAGACTTACGACCATATCACTTTGTAGCAGTGGTTCCATACGATCACCGAAGTTAACCGATGTCTAGCCTGGTCTGTACTTAGATGAGTGACCACGTAGGAGTACAAGGTGATGTGCGATGTAATCTAAAATGACTCGGAGATTTTCATCAGAGATTTGTGAGAAAATGCAAAACCTTTTTTACGGATATCAGTTTTGAAATAAACCATAAGTAAAATAGAGTCTTTATTATCTGTCTATATTTCTGAGATGAGGTATTATATGCACTTTTTACATTATTCGGACTATTGTCTTCATCTTTGTTACCATATTTATTACAACGTTTTGATCGTTGTACGCTCCGGCCTTCTTAGCTAGAGATAACTGACATCCATTAAACATGGCACGTGGAACTAGAACAGTTCTTCTTTTTGTATTTAAAATCACTGCATATATTTAAAAATATATACTGAGCAGTATCTCTTTGTTTGTTACAACACACACACACACACACACACACACACACACACACACATATATATATATATATATATATTGTAACGTAGAAAAGGTTGGCCGTTGCTTTTGAAAAGGACCTTCAACCAAAAATCAATTATCAAACGTATACTTATACATTGAGAAACATTTGCAATTAATGCCAAAAATTTGTGCTGCAGTAATCAAAGCTAAAGAAGGATATTTTGATGAGAGCAAAATTTAATCATAAAATGCTTTTTTTCTTTTTGTCATAATTCAATTTCTAATAAAAAAATAATGTCTCACATTTTTAACCATGTATCTTATTTAAATTACAAAACAAATACTTTCTGGTCCAATTTAAAAAATTAACAGGGGTAGCCTCAAACTTTTGAACTATAGTGCTTATATATATATATATAAATTTCTGAGATGAGTTATTATGTACACTATTTATATTATTCGGACTGTTGTCCTTATCTATGTCGCCATATTTATCACAACAGTTCGGCCGTGGTCTGTTCTAGTTCCACGTGCCATGTCTAATGGATGTCAGTTATCAGTTATCTCCTGCTTGATTCCCTCTCTTTGGGTCCTGTCACTGGATCTAACTAACGCCTTTATTTAAAGGGTTCAGTTTGACATTCCAACCACCTGAAAAAGGCCGGAGCGTACAACAGTAGAAACGTTGTAATAAATATGGCGACAAAGATGAGGACACTAGTCCGAATAATGTTAAGCATCTTAACTTTCACGGCCTACTCTTTGACGAAGAATATGGCTTCCGTTTTGCCAGGTCTATAGCTGATGTGCTACCGGCCATTACTGAATATGTATTTCAAGATCTTGATAATAAAGGCGAAGCTCGAGATGTGGCTCTGGATATGTCGAAATTATTTGACAGGGTTTGGCACACTGGTCAGCTTCAGGGCTACAGTATCACTGGGCGTGTGTTTGATTCAATCCAATCGTTCATATCAAATCTTGAAATGAATGTCGTTTTAAACGGGTTCTCTTCCAGATTCTTTCACACGAATGCGGTTTTCCCCAAAGTCTCTATTCTGAGTCCAACGCTGTTTCTTGTATTCATCAATGATCTTCCTGATGTCATCAGGTCTCAAGTAGATATTTATGCAGATGACATTACCATTTACTCCTGTTTAAATAGCAAATCCGTCAGTTTACAAAGTTAACCTGGCCGTTGCTTTTGAAAAGGACCTTCAATCAATGGTTAACTGGACAGGAAATGGTTCGTAATTTTAACACCTCCAAAAGTGAAACTGCTCTCATTTAACCACCATGAAGGCAATTTCATATCCTCGATCAGTATGGCCGGTGCTAGAATCAATGAAAGCAACACACTGCGCCTTCTTGAGTTCACGTTTGAATTGAAATTGAGCGACTACATCGAATAAGTAGCTGCATCTACTGAAAGGGTTGTTAAATCACTGTGCCGTGCCAGAAGGTTTTCTTCTCAGAAAACATTTACATTTACAAATCTACAATTCGTCCGTGCGTTGAATATTGTTGTCATATCTTGTCAGGTGCTCCTGCTCTTCATTTCGAGGTTCTTGACAAAATCCAAAGAAGGATCTGTAACGATCCTGATTTGGCATCTTGATTTCAATAACTTTCTCATCGTCGTAACGTCTTTTTTACAAATATGTTTATGACTACTACTCTGACGAGATTTTTTTCCCTGGTGCCCGGAAGACGTCAGTTGGCATCTAGGTCCCACCCGTTTATTTTTGAAATAGGTAAGTGGAACCGCCACTTCTACGCGAACAGTTTCTTCTCTAGCACTTCCAGCCTGTGGTACTCCTTTTCGTTTTCTTGCTTCCCTGTTAACTACAATCTACAAAAAATTAACTACAACGTCAATCGCCATCTTTTATCTTCTTAAACGCCATTACGCATTTATCCTTTCCTCATTCCCCACTCTACCCCGTCTTTTCCCTCACCTTCACTTAACACGTAACTCCCTGTATACTAGTGGCATTCTCAACGTGCTTAGGGTGAAATGTTTAAACAAATACAAAAGAAAGTACTAGAAAAATGTATTTTTTTTATATCAGAATAAAAGTAATTTATTAATTAGCGTAAAATATGAATCGTTTTTTTGCTTTTAATTATTTTTAATAACGTATACAGTGAAGATATTTATTTATTAATAAAGTAAATCGAAATTCTAAAATATTCTTATAAAAAATTATATAACTTTTAATGTTTTGAATTATTGAAATTGTTTACTAAAATAAATTTCTTTAAGATTTACTTCATTAAAAATAATTAAAAAAATATTTTTTTTGCCTTTGACTTTATTAAAAACATAATTAAAAACAAATACGTTTTATTGAATTATTTTTATATGTCAATTTATTAAAAATCCCGTTCTATAGAAATGTCTTATGATAAGTCAAATCAAAATAGATGACATGCAAATTTTCAATTATCGCATGTAATTGTGAATATGTGGATAAATTTGATTTATAAAAAAATAAAGCCTAAATATATTTGCATAGTCTGTCCAGATGGTGTGTCGCCTGGACGTGGTAGGACGGCTTGATGGCTTCAACGACCCCCAGTGCTATGTGGTCGTTGTCATCGGCCCTTAGCAGGTCCAACCAAGCTCATCAGGTCTGTGGGGGTCGGAGCCAAACGAAAGACACACCTTGGTTCTTCACGTTAGGGGTTGTGCAGTAGGTTAACAACCTAATCACTTAAAATAAATATTCCATGAAAACAGTATGAAACACTGAGGCGATGTCAGGAGTGAGCTACCCTGTTGTCTTCTAAAACTGAGCAAGAGAAAACTGCATTTTGTCTACCTGTTGTATATTTGTGGTCTGTTGTCGGAAGAAAGCTAAGCTTATTAACACGGACCATATCTTAGAATCACTTCATGCTTATTAAACCTAATCGTACACTTGACTTTTCTACAATTGTAATTAATTAGTTGTTAAACATCAAACTGTTGTTGATTCTTAGTCATGTTTTCAAATCAAATGTTTTTATTAGAATCAAGGCAATTACTCTTCGACTTTTATAGCGAGAAGACTGCATCTGGCACGGAAACAAAGAAATGGAATTCTGCCAGGTTATTGATTTGACTATTCTTCTTCTTTCCACCATGTTCTTCAAGACGTAGTGAATCATGGCTCTTCACAACTTCCTTTATTTTGTAGCTCTTAGCAATGTTTGTCTTTTTACTAACCCTCCCAACACTGTTCTGCCATCCATTTGCACAAGCTCGTTAGATAGGTTGATCATAGCTCTCCACAACTTCCCATAATTTGTAGCTTTTAGTATTGTGTCTTTTTTTCTATCACTCCCACTCTTGATCTGCCATCCATTTACACAAGCTCGTTATATATGTTGATCATGGCTCTCCACCACTTCCTATCCTTTTTACTCCTTACCAATATTTGTTTTATTTACTATCCCTTTTACTCCCTGTTCTGCCTTCCAAGGTAGGTTGGTCACTGTTTCCCTCTGCCTTTCTTGCCTTCAGTATGTTTTGTGGGTGTTAAAATCTCCAAGCCTTATTTCCTCATTATTTATTGCTTAAATTTCAACTGTTTTTTATTTTAAATATGCGTTCTTTTCATTTCCATTTAACCCTAAAACTTCTTATTTACTTACATCTTCTGTCTATAATAGCCGTAACAGTCTTAAGTTGTCTGAATTGCATCTTGTTTTCTTTCTTTCCACCAAGTAGTAATAGTCTTAAGTTGTCTAAATTTCTTATATAACGTCTTGTTAATTATTATGAATTTTTGACCAGTATTTCTTCCATCTTATTTCTCATGACTTTACACAAAGTAGTAATAGTTTATGTGTCTAAATTTCTCAGATGAAGTATTGTCAATTTTTTTTTTTAAGTATATCACCCCAAGCAAAACGGGAGTGGCACTAACACGCAAGGGGTTGCAAAGAGTGCGAGCAAGAGTAAAGAGAGGTTTTTGAGGAAAGGATATAGAGAAGGACGGGGATCAGAATCAAGGCTTAAGAAGATGTCGATTGACATTATATTTGAAGATTATAGCTATCAGGGATACAAGTAAGGGGAAGGGAGTTCCACTGTCGGGAAGTGCGGGATAAGAAGTTGTTGGAGTAGAAAAAAGGGCTACATTTAACCCTTTCGACAGTGAAAGGGTGGGACCGATTAGCACGCTTAAATTCATGCAGTAAAAGTAGCTTGTCAGAGCAGATGCCATGAAAATATTTGTAGAAAAGACAGCGGGAAGCCACATCATGTGTGTGAGAATGTGACTATAGACGAGATGCCAGATCAGGATTTATTTCATCTGATTTCTTTTGCAGTTATGCCAATTCATATTATTTGTTGAAACAAAAGTTGTAGTATTTTTAAATGGATGACGTTTGAGTTTGTGATTTCGTTTCATACGTGACTGAATATCTGGCCGATGTACGCATTCTGAAATTTCATATTTCAATGTTTCTTTCTATACAATTTCTGTGTGGATTATAAATATTACATTTTTTTATGTTAAAAATGAAAGGTATCAAAATGAGTTACATTGTCGTCATTTTCGATGCTCTGGAAAAGCGGAAAATGGGTGAAAATATCAAAAAAGGTAAGTGTCATTTATTGAGACGATGCCATAGCCGAGAGAACATTCCAGTAGACCTGCCGCTGTTTATGACGAAAATAAAACGATAATTAAAACCAATCTATGTCACATAACACGGGAAATCGCAGAGTTACTCCATATTTAAAATCAACACAAAATGAAAAAAAAAAAAAGATCTTCAAAGTAAGTTAATAGTTATCTAACTGTCTCGTTTCATTGATTGACATTTTAAATCAGAAATGTTTTGATGTTCTTTGAGAAGAACGTAAATATTTAGGAGAGAATAGCTTACTTGCAAAGTTTTCCATTAAAACACTCGGGCTAGCTTGTCCCTTGAACTTTGACCGACATTCACAGCAATTTTTTTTTTTATTTCATAGATTATAAAATTTAGATTTTTCGATCAACTTCTCCTGTGTCTTTCTCTCTGAAATCTTTTATCGATTTGGAAGGGACCGATAGAAGTCATTTCTGTGACTCCTAAGCCACAATAAACTCGTTAAGAAAAGCAGCCAATACACCGTGGCCGATGTCAAGATTACAATTATATTTTGATTAGTATCGTAAAGCAACCATTTAAATAAAAAAGATCTCAGTCTTGTTTCAGCAATTTTCTAATCTTATCAGGACGTAAGCAATCGTGGCTCTCCACAATTTCCTGTTACGTTTTACCCCATTACAACTTTTTCGTTTTTCACATCAATTTTCGTTGCTATTCTTGCATCCAGTACGCCCTGTGAGTGTTAAATTCTCGAAGCTCTCTTTCTTCTTTATTTGTCCAAGTATATTCAGCTGTTTCTTCCTGATTTTAACTGTAAGATACCTTGTTTTTCCTATTTTCATTTAGCGATATTCCTTCAACTCACATTCCCATTCAATGCAAGTTCTACGAGGCTTTCTTATACCATCAGTGTATTTGAAATATACAAGGTTGTTTATGTTTTTGGAGAATCGTCTTTTAATAAGTCTATTTTTTCTTATACATTTACGTAAATATTGCTATAAGTATGTATTTTCAGTTAGTTTGGAATCCGTTATTTTTGGAGCCTGTCATTCTGTCTGATTCCAATCCATATTTTGTCCCAATTCTTATATATATATATATATATATATATAAGGCTAGTTTGAATGAGGATTTGTCTTCAAGTGTGGTTCGATATACCAACAGAGGAGAGGGTTAAAAGCTCATATGAAGCGGCTGGAGAGTCTTGCGGACAAAGTTTGTTTTTTTTTCTAAAAAAAGTATAACATTCGACTGCATAGTTTTTTTTTATTCCCACTATTTGAAATATTTGTAAATTTATAGCAAAACATCAAGTTACGAAGAAATTTCCAAATAAAATAAAATTATAAACAATATTTTTAAAAATCCAAATTAACTTTTTACCTTGTGAATGTTTCGAGTTAATAATAAGAAACAGGAAAGACATATCCTTATTATTCAGATCCGAATAGACAAAAGTTCATATCTCATGTTAGAAACTTGAATTTATGTGAGCAACGACGAAGATTTAGAAAAAAAGGGAAAGAAAAAGGACACTTATACTTAACACCAAAAAGAGGCAGTTGAGATCTCTAAGACACATAATGAGAAAAGACGGCTTGGAAATTTTGACACTCACAGGAAATATTGCAACAAGAAGAACAGAGGGAAGCAGCGTATAAACTACCTAAAGAACTTGTTTAAATGGTTGACATAACAGGGATTAGGAGTGATAGTAAAAAGACAAACATTACTAAGACCTTCAAAGAGTAGAAAATTGTGAAGAGATATAATCGTCCACGTCTTGAAAGGACACGATACATAGAAGAAATTAGTTAGAAGCTAGAGGATATATCGGTCGAAGTTAACGAAACACTATTTCTAATTTGTGGATTTATAGAAATACTTACCTTCTCAAAACAAAATCAATAATTAATCGCAGTACAGTAAAAATCGAACACATCACAGGTGCGTTAAAGAACTAAAAAAAACATATGTAAAGACAAAAGTACGCAGGTGTAGGCTTTAAGAAAGCTTTATTCAACTGAGAATACAATATTCGCCTATAGTGTCCTTTTATAGTCCCAGTAAACAGAAATAACTCTCTTAAAGAGGAGGATAACAAAACAAGGGGAGACCACACTTGATTATAACAACATATAACGGCATTATTTAATTTTACATTTGGACAAATGCTTTCATTTTTATTGTTTTTATTTATAAAATTTCAGAAAAGGTCGTGATGATAACAAAACAGACGTGGATTTTTCCGATTGTAAACAATTTATATAATGATATTAATCTTCCCAAAATATTTAAACAGTAATATAAATTAATCTAAAGTATATATATATATATATATATATATATATATATATATATATATATATAAAGTAAGGAAAATCTTGGTAAACTGTATGGATAATCCCAAGGTGGATGAAATCCTGAGAGCTCAATGTTAAGTCAGAGCGAATAATTTTATTTAAAGAAAAACAAATCACTTTAAGGCTCCATTTGTTATAATTTATTTCACCAGAGAATTTTATTTTTCTCTGGATCTTCAGACTTCACTTTCAAAGGTGAAACGTAAAATGAATATATATATATATATATATATATATATATATAGGAAATAATGACTAGCTCAATCATCACGTATTAAACAGAATCGAGAGGAAGAAAATCTGTATGCAAATGATGCATTCAAATGTATATCGGCAAGTTAGAAGAAAAAGGAAAACAAAACAAAAAAAAAGAATAAAATGCGGTTAGATAGGCAAAATTTCCACTGGCCTCTGGTTTCCTATAACGAGTTCCTATCTGACTGGCCTGATTAAACGAAGAAAGAATACAAATAAACCAACTGTGGAACTACGGTGTATGAGATATAAAATCCCTTCTATTTTTTCCAGGGAAATGGCTCAGGAATCTCTGTTGGGTTTGATATTGAACATTCGCCAAAGTGTAGAATTTCTACAAGCAATCTGAAGACAATCATTATGGCCAGGAAATTTTCTCTTAAGACTCATTACCGTCGGTAAATGTCGATAGTCTTCTTATGAACGAATCAAGAAACTTTCGTGGAAGGTCGTCATGATGACGATACAGACGAGAATTAGTCGGATTTAAATAAAGTAAAATAAAATAATAGTCATTTTTATAATTGATCCTGAATTTCTAATTCTTTCATTTTTTTAGTCAGATTGCTAGTTTGAACGGGGATGAGAAGAGATATCAAAATGACAAAGACCCAGAAAGCTTAGTAAATTATGGAGAAAAATTTTGAACCGAACATTTGAGCAACGACGAAATTTGGAAGAAAATGGAAACAAAAAGTAAAACTAATACTTAACATCAGGAAGAGACAGTTTGGCGGACGCATAATAAGAAAAGAGGGCTTAGAAAATTCAACACTCATGGGACAGGAAAGCGGTGTATAATAACCTTGTGTAAATGACTGACAAAACAGGGACGAAGACAGGTAGCAAAAAGACAAGAGATACAAATGATAGGACGTTGTGGAGAGCCATTATCATTCACGCTATGAAGGGACACAGCACAGAGAAAAAATTTGAAATATATTTTCATTATAATTTATTTAAGTCTGCTCATATTTATTATAGTAAAGGGGAAATGAATATGTGGAGGAATTTTGAGATAAATACGGTAAATTTTCGTTCTCCTAATGGAAGCCGTCATTAAACCTGGTGTGTTTTTTCGATCTCTCAGTCACGAAGGGAGTTAATGGCCAAGCAAAACTGAATAGTGCCTTTAAATTCAAATTTTTCTCTAAGTCTCGGAACAAACATATCTACTTAGTTTCGAAGTCTAACGTAAACAAAGCAATTTCTGAAGAAAGTGATGAAATTTTTTATTTATTAACCCGATAGATTTTATTATTCAAACGTTAGTTTTAGTAGATACTCGTATTTGAGTATTTGGCTGACCACATATGGAGAGAAGAAGGGAGATCACCACCCTCTGTGGGATCATGTTGAGATCATTGACAAGGAACACCACTGGAAAATTCGTAAACTTAAGGAATCAGCACATATGCTAGGCCACAAAAATCTCCTGAGCCGACCAAGCATAGAAATATACAATATGGGAACCAGTAATAAGGAGTGCCAGTGAAAAGCAATGACAACAACATAGTTGCAATATGAGCTCTGGTTAAACATGGAATGATAACAACAAAATTGCAATATGAGCACTGGTAAAAATGGTTGCTGAAGACATTAGGTTTATAATACCCAAAAATTCATACCTCAAAGACACATGGGATAAAGGCGTTGGTTATATCCAGTGACAGGACCCAAAGAGTGTGAGTTCAATACCTGGTTAAGGCAGTGGAGAACTTTCAGAGGGAAATTAACAGGAGATAACTGATAACTGACATCCATCAAACATGGCACGTGGAACTAGAACAGTCTACACCGCTGAGCGAAATAAAGGGTTCAGTTCGACATTCCAACCACCTGAAGAAGGCCAGAGCGTACAACGGCCGAAACGTTGTGATAAATATGGCGGCAATGATGAGAACAATAGTCCGAATAATGTAAATAGTGTACATAATACCTCACCTCAGAAATATAGACAGATACTGAAGGGCCGAAACGTTGTAATAAATATGGCGACAAAGATGAGGACAATAGTCCGAATAATGGAAATAGTGTACATAATACCTCATCTCAGAAATATAGACAGACCCGTGAGATCTTGTTAGTAAAAAATAGTGATCTCCGGTGAATGCAATTTCGAATCTTCATGGAGAATCTATATATATATCTACTAGTCTGTTTGTTTGTCTATATGTATCGACTTGCCAATTTTTTTCCTCTCTCTCCCTATCTATCTATCTATCTATCTATCTATCTATCTATCTATCTATCTATCTATCTATCTATCTCAGTCTGTTGCTATCTATCTATCTATCTATCTATCTATCTATCTATCTATCTCAGTCTGTTGCTATCTATCTATCTATCTATCTATCTATCTAATGCTTACATTCATGCAACTAAATACTTATTTCAATAATCCTCTAAGGGTTCCTAAGCTCTATATTGTGCGAATATGAATAAAACAAATTCAATGAGGTCCATGATATTCTGTTTTTTTTATGGCTCAGTTAGCAATTAGGAATATTGTTTGGCCGATATTCAACGATGAAATCTTAAAGTGCATTAAAAATCAGTATATGAAAATTAAACTGTTAGCTGGACGTAGTTAACGAGTGAAAATGGTTGAAATGAGTGCAAACTCCATTTTATCTTATATTTAACTCTTGTTCCCTTTCAAACGTACAAGCCGGGGAGAACCGTCCATGGCGAAACGATTGTATTTCTCTCTATCTCCGTTTCTTGTCATCTATTTGTATATTAATCTATCTATCTATCTCTCTATTGGTGTGTCTGTCTGTCTATATCTATCTGCCTGTAAGTTACTCTCTCTCTCTCTCTCTCTCACTCTCTATCTATCTATCTAAGTCGCTTCATGTATATCTGTTTCTTTCAGTCTGTTCTGTTCATATCTATCTATCTGTTGGTTTGTCTATATCTATCTGCCTGCCAGTTTATCTATCTATCTATCTATCTATCTATCTATCTATCTATCTATCTATCTATCTGTTTTTTTTTTCAGTCTATTCTGTTCATATCTATCTATCTATCTATCTACTTACAGGTCTGTCTGTATCTGCCTGCTTGCCAATCTATCTATCTATCTATCTATCTATCTATCTATCTATCTATCTATCTATCTGTTTTTTTTCAGTCTATTCTGTTCATATCTATCTATCTATCTATCTATCTATCTATCTATCTATCTATCTACTTACAGGTCTGTCTGTATCTGCCTGCTTGCCAATCTATCTATCTATCTATCTATCTATCTATCTATCTATCTATCTATTGGTCTGTATCTGCCTGTTTGCCAATCTATCTATCTATCTATCTATCTATCTATCTATCTATCTATCTGTCTACTATCTGTCTGTATCTGCCTGTTTGCCAATCTATCTATCTATCTATCTATCTATCTATCTATCTATCTATCTATCTACTGGTCTGTCTGTATCTGCCTGCTTGCCAATCTATCTATCTATCTATCTATCTATCTATCTATCTATCTATCTATCTATCTATCTATCTATCTATCTATCTAAGTCGCTTCATGTCTATCTGTTTCTTTCAGTCTGTTCTGTTCATATCTATCTATCTGTTGGTCTGTCTATATCTATCTGCCTGCCAGTTTGTCTATCTATCTATCCATCTATTTATCTATCTATCTATCTGTTTTTTCAGTCTATTCTGTTCATATCTATCTATCTATCTATCTATCTATCTATCTATCTATCTATCTATCTATCTACTGGTCTGTCTGTATCTGCCTGCTTGCCAATCTATCTATCTATCTATCTATCTATCTATCTATCTATCTATCTATCTATCTATCTATCTATCTCTTTCAGTCTATTCTGTTCATATCTATCTATCTATCTATCTATCTATCTATCTATCTATCTATCTATCTATCTACCCTGCCAAATAACGTATCTCCCCTAATAATCGAAGAGTTAAAATACTGCCTATTCTTAAGTGTCATAATAGGATCTGCTTCGTTTCGTTCTGAGAATTTCCGATTTCCCAAACTTGTTTTTGTTTTCTGTTCGCCACTCATTGTTTCTTTCGAGAGCTTTTTTTTCCTTACATTTCTTCCTCGCGTTTTATTTACAAAACTTATATGTTGTTGTATTTCTTTTACTTTTAAGCCTTTAAGTACGTCTGAGTCTTACACTATTCCCAACGCGTAGACGCACCAATTCTTCTTCTTCTTGTCGTCGTTTCTTCACTCCTCCCTCCATATAATTATTATTTTTCATTTCCATCATTGTTATTGTCTTTACTTTTGAGTGACTGTTGTTGTTGCTATTGTTTTGATTTTTATTTGTTTTTTATTTATTTTTAAATCATTTTTTTCTTTGGTAATCATCCTCATCATCATCATCATCATCATCATCATCGTCATGATTATCATGATCGTCTTAAGCAACATATTTATTAAAATCAACAGCTTTTTTAATCAACAATTTTTTCCCTTTCACTTGATCATTGATTATTTTGTTCTTGTTGCTGTTATTTAGTCTCTTAATTTTTCTTTTTTTCTTGTTCATTTTTCTTCTTTTTCTTCTTTTTCCTTCATTTTTCTACTTTTTAATCTTTTCTTCATTTTTTCTATTACTTCTTTTTCTTCATTTTTCTTTTTTCTTCATTTTTCTTCTTTTCCTTCTTTTTTTCTTCATTTTCCTTCTTTTTCTTCTTTTTTCTTCATTTTTCTTCTTTTTAATCTTTTTCTTCATTTCTTCTTCTTCTTTTTTTTCATTTCTTCTTCTTCTTTTTCTTCATTTCTTCTTCTTCTTTTTCTTCATTTTTCTTTTTTCTTCATTTTTCTTCTTTTCTTTCTTTTTTTCTTCATTTTCCTTCTTTTTTCTTCATTTTCTTCTTTTTAATCTTTTCTTCATTTTTTCTTTTTTCTTCTTTTTTTCATTTTCTTTTTCTTCTTTTCCTTCTTTTTTCTACATTTTCCTTCTTTTTCTTCTTTTTAATCTTTTTCTTCATTTCTTCTTTTTTATTCTTTTTCTTCATTTTTCTTTTTTCTTCATTTTCCTTCTTTTCCTTTATTTTTTCTTCATTTTTCTTCCTTTTTTCTTAATTTTTCTTCTTTTTAATCTTTTTCCTCATTTTTCTTTTTCTTTTTTTTTCTACATTTTTCTTTTCTTTTTTTTACTTTTTCTTCGTTTTTCTACTGTTTCATCGCATTTCATCCTCTTTTTTTCAGATTTATCCGTTTCAATTTTTTATCCTCGAAATGTTTTCCCACTACTTTGCTTTCTTTCTTTCTTTCTTTCTTTCTTTTAAATTCTTCTTAATTTTTTTCTCTATTTCTTTCCGCTTCCTCTTCCTTTCGTTTCTCTCCTTGTTTCCTTTCTTCCTTCATTTTTTCCTTTCTTTTCTATTATAACTTCCCTCGTACGTTGGTTCCTTCTTTTCTCTTCGTCTTCCTTCTTTCCTTATCTTTTTCCTTCCTTTCATGTTCTTCCTTCCTTCTTTTCTCCTCTTCTTTCTTTATTTTCGCTTTCTTTTCTCATCTTCACTGCTTCTTTCCTTCCTTCTTTCTAGCTTTTCCTTCCTTCCTTCCTTCCTTCCTTCTTTCCTTCCTTCCTTCCTTCCTTCCTTTATTCTTGCTATTGTTTTCCTTCTCTTTCTTTTTATTTTCATTCATTTTCTCATCTTTTAGAAAATTTCTTTTTTTATTTACAACGTTACTCTCTCTCCTGACTTTCCTCTTTCATTTTAAGGTACTTTCATTGTACTTATTCCCCTGTGACTGAATTGTTGATTTTAGATTCTCATTCACTCTTTCTTTCATTCCTCCTTCTTCTCCTCCTCCACATTTTGCATCTTCTTCATTTCTTATTATTATTGGTCTCATGATATACTATTCTCCCCTCCTCATCAACGTAAATATAATTTATTTTCTTAATTTTAGTATTTATTTTGTTATAACACTGTACTAAGTTTAGATGAGTCTGGCACAAGGATTCAGTAGTAAGATAAACATAAGAATGGACTTGTGCGTATGAGGGAATTGGTCTGTGATAATAGCTTGCCAATTATTCTACTCCACATTAGCTTTATTTAACTCAGCCATTTGTATTCTCAAGTAATTATGTAAATTCTTACATATGTTATGACCACAGATCATTTTGATATTGAATTGTTTTTTATTGTCTTTTATTGTTTTAGACTAATTTATAACGAATATGTATAAATTTCTTTCAGTTGTAATAGAATTGGCATTTAGAACCATATATTTTGATTCGTTGGGTTTGTCCGAAAGGTCCGCGCTTCTGTTTTGAAATATTACTAGCTTTCTTCTTTCGCGTTGAATATGAAAGAATAAGGATTTTGGAGGAGCTTAAAAATATTTTCAATGAATTTCTTCTCTTCATGTAAATACTGAGCGCTACAAATTCTGAGTGCACTTCAATAAATCCGATGATTTTACCGGAATTGATTTCGTTATGGTGAGAATAAAATAAAAAGTTTGGTCAGACTCATTACAGTGAACAACTAATACATTAGGTGTGTTGCTTTCTAAAAAAAGATCCTTTTTGTGTTCATATAAACTTTTATCTAAATTACTTGAGGTTTCACCTAAGTAGTCCTTGTAACATTCATTACAGGTGATTGAGAAATTCTCTCCTTCAAGTTTTTCTTTATTATTTTGTTTTTTTGAAGGCTGTTTAATTTTTAGACGCAATCGTCAGGTGGCCTGACGATTACGTCCAGCATGAAACAGCCTGTCGCCTCTGAGTGTTGACTTCTATGTTCACTTATATATATATATATATATATATATATATATATATATATATATATATATATATATATATATATGTGTGTGTGTGTGTGTGTGCGTGTGTGTGTGTGTGTGTGTGTGTATGTATGTGTATGTATAAAGGGTAGCACTTTTTCATTTATATATGTTAGTGTTAGCAAAAGTTATTTGTTTATTATTCATATTTCATTTTTTGTGTACCATTTTCCAGGAAGATTTTGTACATAAACTGTCGAAAATTTCGGCTTTTATTAGACTTTCATTAAGGCTTACGGATCAAACCATCTTTATTTATCTGTTATGCAACAGCAACTGAAGAAACAGTAATTCTGTTACATCTATTTTCAGTCTTGACAGGGCTCAATAATTCCGAAACATGTAGCTATTTTTAACATGAACGAAGAAAGAGGACGAAATGTCGAATGAAAATGAAAAGAAAAAAAAAACTGGGAAAAAACAGGTGGAAGAATAGAAAAGTAAGTAATTATGGAAAAAGTTGATATCTTCGTTTTTCTGCAACTTTCGTTGCAGAATAATGAGGGCGAAAATCTTAAATTCGAAGACCATGGGGCAAGTGCGAACAGCTAGTTTGATGACACTAAACAAAATGGAAAAAAAATGAATGATTTTGTCAGTAGATAATTTCAGCAACAATTCATATGAATATGAGATTTCTGCTGAAGGATTAATCCCCATTTTAGACAAGATTTAAATGAAAAGAGAAAATAATGAAAAATTGTTTGAGATGAAACTATCGATTACAATATTAAATCCTGTTTAAAGCACAGCATTAGAAAGTAATAATAATAATAATAATAATAATAATAATAATAATAATAATAATAATAATAAGCTAATCACCCAGACATCGAGATCAAAGACCACAAGAACAGAATGACATGGCAATCCCTGCAAATAGTAATGTATCTTTGAAGATCTCCAAAAATCTATCAAAATACAAGGATCTTGAAATGGAAACACAAAAATGTTGCACGTGGGGATATCAGTAATTCCAGTTGCGGTTGGAGTCCTCGGATTGATTGGAAAAGTAGACTAAATGAAGGAGATACTGGGAGCCTATGCCTTAAAGAATACAAAAAATGCTACTCACAAATACAGGTCATATATTACGAAGAGCTTTATCCATGTAAAAACTGTGTGATTTTAGATTTTTTTAGTACAAATATATCAGTGGAAAATTTCATGAAGCAATTTCTGACCTTAATATCTAGTTTGGGCACAGAAGGAAATGTGTATGCAACAGAAATAATAATAATAATAATAATAATAAGAAGAAGAAGAAGAAGAAGAAGAAGAAAAAAAAAATGATGACACACAATTCTCACAAGAGAACTGTAAAAAATATTGAAGATGACACTGATGTCCATCATTGTTGGAATGCTTGGAAGAGTCTTGCAAAAAGATTATGAGAACTGAAATCCTAAAATGAAACTCACCAGTCATTTGTACGAACATGCAACTATAGGAATAATAATAATAATAATAACTTTCATCCACATATTTAATACAATACAATATATATATATATATATATATATATATATATATACTATGAAATGGACATCGTCCCACAATTATTTTAATATATTTTATCACTATACGTTATTTATTTATATAGACATAAATAATTAAGTAAATGCTCTGTTTATAATAATTTCAGGCCAGTAAATGTTGTTAATACTGTTTATTATGAACAGAACATTTACTTAAATATTTATATTTATATAAATAAATAATGTATAACAATAAAATATATTAAAAATAATTGTTGGACCTTGTACATTTCGTAGTGTGTGACGTCATTTGTTTGCATTAAGATACGCTTCAAGCAGATATGAGCATTCTTGGGAAATCATGGGAAATTGTAGTTTAAAGGCAGTAACATCAACCATGCTAACCAGACGTTTCTGTAGCTAAATGGTATATCACATCAGGCTATATGACAGACCCATGTAAGATACAGGTTTGATTCCTGTTGGAGGACCCATATTTTCTATGAAATTTCTTGAACGTTCAGGCCAGTAATGTTGTCAATACCATTTATTATAAACAGAACATTTACTTAAATATTCATGTCTATATGAATAACGTATAATAAATGTGTGATTTTGTTTTTGTTTTATTTCTGACCTTAGATTTTTAGTTTGGGCACAGAAAGAAATGTGTCCTCTGATGACAGCCACCGGTGGGCTTTTAGCGGTCCGCCAGTGGTAACATTGGCTAGATGAAGTCGCCGGCAGTCTGACAGCGGGCCACCAGCGCTAATCGCTAGTGGCATGCCATCCAGTATCAGATTGATGGCTTGCGTGAAGAGACAGGTTTAATGCTTGCTAATTAGAAATTACCAAGTAAACATATTGAAAAATTGTGTTGACCCCAAATGCAGATAAATATCCACAAACAATTGACCATCTTGTATCAGGTTGCACGGTATGAGCAGCCATTGAGTATAAAAGTCGACATGACATAATGGACGAGGATCAGTATTAGAAAATCTGCAACTTTTACGGGAAGGAAACTAAAAGAAATAGGTTTGAACATTACCCAAACCCAGTTACAGACATAAGAACTGTAACAATTTTATGGGATGTTAAAACAGAGACAGACAAAGCAATCAAAATTTATTGCGCAGTCAGAAGGATAAAAGACCTAAATTAAAAAAAATGTGTGATGTTAGGTTGTTTTATTTTAAAAAAATGGTCTTCTGTGAAAATGCCATGATGCCATTTCTGACCTCAGGTTTTTAGTGAGGACCCGGAAAGTAATGTGTATACGGCAGAATTGAAAGAAAATAATAATAATACGCCATAACAAATTAGACCTCAAAATACAATGGGAACAATTTAGAAAATAAGGCCTCGGTTAAACAGAGAAGCGGTACGAGTATTCCCCTCTGTCAGTAGCCAAAAATGAGCAAAAGAATCTCTTATGACCATCTTAACTGACAAGAGCTTGGAGAGAAATAGCCCTGATATCGAACTTGTACACAAGAGCAGCCATAAATGGATCTTGGTGGGTTTTGCGTTAATTAAGATAAGAACATTGTGTAGGTGGTACGAAGACCAGGCAGCAACTCAAGATGTTCCTTTTGTGATTGGCTCAGCTCATTTGCTGGGGGAAAGTGATGTGTCTCTCTAAGCTTTCGGTAGGAGCTGAGATATGATTATAATCACCTGGCCGAAATGTCTAAGTGCCGGGGGAGGTTGTCAAATAATAATAATAATAATAATAATAACTGCATCTCTGGTTATAATAATTTACTAATGTCAATAGCAGAAAATGTGCAAGTGAATCTCATGTGTGATAAGAACATCCCCACAAACAATTACTTGGAGAGAAATGGCCCTGATATCACAATTGTGCACACTAGTAGACATTAATAGCTCCTGATCGATGAAATACCTTAGGATAAGAACCCGGACATAAGAGATCAGACAAACATATAGAGGCACCAAGACCTGTCAGGGAATATCAAAGTAAGATACCAAACAGCAAC